GCATGACTGTGAACGATAACTTGCTTTCCAAACCTATAAGGCGTGCTAATTTTCGATTATGCAATGTTTCAGGGTATGTATTGGAATATCGAACCTTGAATTCACGATTTCATTTATTTATTCCATCATTAATATGTCCTTTTGTCCAGTTACATTTCTGAAGTATTGGAGATTCGGGCTGAGGCTCCTAAACTGCATGTTCTGCTTGTTCCTGGAAACCCAGGTGTGGCCTTGATTGTGTATTTGCCTGCTTGTTTTCTATGTTATTTTTGTTTGGTTGTTTGAGCCTTTTGGTGTATTTGATTGTTGCAGGTGTTGTTTTATTCTACAAGGACTTTGTGGAATTTCTATATGAGCTGCTGGAGGCAACTGCGTCTGTGACTGGTAAGTAAAATAATGGAAGCACTTTCTTTCTAGCTACTTATATGGATATTTGGTGACCATTAGGCTCACTAGTGATGTTTCTGTGTGAACTAGCAGCTATCGGCCATGTTTCTCACTCAAGAAAGGTTCATATATTTTATTTCGATTGATTTACTTGCGTGGCATTAGAAGGTCTCTTACACAGAGTTCTGTTTCCAGGACTTGGAACATGGACGCATGTTTTCTTTACAGGAACAAATTGATCACAAGGTAATAAGGCTTACTATTTTGATCTTAGTAATCGTTTACTGTTTTTGGTTGGAGAAACTTATCAATGGTTTATTTCAATGCTAATTTATAAATTGGTTACACTTAGTTTGCTGTACAGCGGGAAGTCCTACACTGCCTTGACCCTTTAATTTTTACTACAAAAAAATTTGATTAAATTAGTGAATAAGAATACCTTTGAAGTTTTCCATTCTTTTTTAGAAGTTCTATGAAATGTTATAGGTTTATCTAATCTATTGTTGAATAGTATGAAAACTGTGGTAGAATTGAGTATTTAAACTTTCATTTCAGATTGCACTGTGCTCAACTGTTGTAAAGAAATAAGAATTGTCATCGTGGAATTGTTTCTACTATGTCATGTGCTGGCTTTTGTATTGGCATATTGAGAATTTGTCGTATTTATGCCACATGCATTCATCCCTCCCTCTCCTTCTCTTTTGATCATTACAGTTTTCTGTCATTTTATAATCTTCCATGCTTTTATGATTGACATTCGTCATTCTTGATTTAAATAATTTGACGTAGCAGTGTTAATTAGTGATAGTAGTCAAAGTCTTCACTTTCCTTGTGTATTTGTAGACTGACTTCATCAGACAGGAGTTGCAAAGTATTGAGATTCCTATATTACTGGTGGGTTCTTCTATATCTCATGTCCATTATTCTTTTCCAAAGTCATGTTGATTTGAAGAGTTGTAGGTGCTAAAATACCAAAATGCTGCCTAGTGACAAAAGAAATCTGTACATGAAAATTGGTAGTCATGTAATAATACAAAATGGAATTTTTTTTTACTATTTTAATGGTGTTTTGTAATTTAAAATTGAGCCAATACTTTGGTTATCTTGTGTTCGCCTGCCACCACACTTGTGCTGCAATGCAACGGATGTCAGAGCAACTGTGTTAACATCTTCTTAGACACGTAATTTTTGTTGACCACGACATATAAGGAGTGACATTAATGTGCAGCTTAAAGTGGAGAAAAGTGTGTAGAGTTTTTTATGTGCGCGGAGAAATAATATGTTATATTGCTGTTAAGAAAAGACCTCCATGATATTATAGTCTAATTAATAGTGTCATATCAGAATATATTTCTCGTTGTGATATGTGACTACCGAGTTCAAAACTTGTGGCATGCAATACCAAACATCCTTTTATTCACTAAAATGGAACAATTTTGGAAAACCTTCAAAGGATCAACTTGAGTCTAGTTCTTAGCTAAAGTAATTTGTAAATAATTGTTATCTGTGTTTTTAAAACACAGAAAAGTTTAAGTTCATTCTGAAATGAAAATTGGTAGCTAATTAGAATTTTCTCTCCAGGTTGGGCACTCTATTGGTTCATACATATCTATTGAAATGTTCAAGAAGTCTCCAGAGAAGGTGATAGGAACGATGCATATTTAATTAATCTTCTTCCCATCATGCCGTCTGTCCATCACTTCTGATTTTCGTAAACTGTCTATTTGCATTATCTCCTGGGCTCTGTAGGTGAAATATTGTATTGGACTTTATCCATTTTTGACGTTAAACCAGCAATCAACAAAACAGTTGTTTATTGGAAAAATTGCAAAGTAAGTCTCAACTCAACCCCCTTCCCCAATCAAACACCTTGACATTACCTTCTTTGTTAGAGATGATATGAACTTTTAGTGATATTATGAGCTTAGATATCACAAATTTTGATGTGGTACACTCTATTTCACACCTCATGGCATTCTTTTTATGCATAAAAACAATTTTAATAATTCGATCTGAAACTAAACTTCAGATATAAATTAAATGGTGGTAATTATATGTTTATTATTACTAATTATTAAGCATGAAAATTTTACTTCTACTTATTTTCTTTTGAAAATTTTAGACTAGTTTATACGAAATGACTAAATGATGTTACATGGGGTTTCAGCTCCCAAGTTCTAGCTGCTGCTCTTAGTTACCTGATAGCATCATTAGGATGGCTACCTGTCCAAGCTTTAAGGTTCGTGGTCAGAAAATCCCTTGGGAAGTCATGGTCGGTCAATGCAGTTGAAGCTGCTTGCTCCCACTTGTCACAGGTTAGCTTTACTGTTCAAAGAAGGCTTCAATGATTAGTCACATTAAACTTGTAATTTAGTTCATTTTGTTTTGGTCATTCTTCTTATCGATCCCTTTATTAATATTATTAGTGGCAATGCAACATATTCTACATTTAATTGACACTGAGTTGCAGCTTTTTATTGTGGATTGGTCTGCACTTTTTCTTTTGTATTAATTCCAACCTTAATAATTCACAGTACCATACCATGCGGAATGTTCTGTATATGGCCATGACAGAATTCAGAAAGGTATTAATGCTTCCTATCTACAAATATACCTATTAAGTTTTATAAATTATCGTAAAGCTGTTTCACATTATTTACTCTTTAGCAATTTTTTGATTTACATATATGGCACCGGGGACTTGTTGCATTGATGTGGAAGATGGCATGCCACTGAAAATTGCACAGGGATACAACATCTAATGATAAAAGAAGTTGAAATTGAGAATTTAAAAATGAACGGGTAAATTGACTGGAATAGAGGGCAATTTTCATCTGGGTCTCAAAAAAGGTAAAATATCCAAAACTGCACTTATAATCGTGTGCTTAACCTGCTAGCTTTCAGAGGCACCAGATTGGACATTTATGAGAGAAAGGAAGGCTCAATTGACGTTTTTATTTGGTATCGACGATCACTGGGGCCCACTTGATTTGCTTGAAGAGGTTTGCTTTTATTTATTTTAATCACTATTTTTATTATCTGGAAAGCTTTTTCATCATCTGGAGGTATGAGACAAACATCTGTACCTCAAGCATCTTAAAAAGATTTAGTCTCCACGGGAGAGCATGTGTAGGATGATTATATGCTTGTGATTTTATCCTAATCTACGTGATCATTCATGGTACCAAAATGGTGTAATGTAATTATTAAATAGATTTCCAAACTTTACTAACAAGTTTATTTCCCTCCTTTTATCTTAATGAAAGATCATGTATCAAAATTTGCAGCAGATTTCTCTATAAATAAACAGTAAAGCAAGCTAGAATATTATCTGTTTTATTTTTTTAATTTTCATTGCTGATCTTTTTCTTTTCCAGAGAAATCAAATAGCCTTTTAAATTTGCCTAGCCATTAAGCTGAAGGTTTGGATTTGTGTTTGAATCTCAACAATAACTAAAATATGTGATTAACTCCTTCCTCTTTCTCTAGCCCCAGTTTATGGAGTTGACCTCCTACTCTAAATACAGAAAATATGTTCATTAAATTTTCTCGTTTTATTTTTTAGAAAAAGAAAGCAAAAGTCTATCCAATTGTGATGTCAAAAATTGCAGTACTTTGATTATAAATATGATACTTAATTTAACCTTTAGTAGTCCTTTATTTCTCTCTGATATTAAATTTAATTCATTTTCTTGATTTGTGTTTTAGACTACAGGTATTGTGATAGACTGAGAGCAAAATAAATTAGATTATGGTATAACCTTTCAATAATTTGGCTCTTAGTAAGATATACAGGAAGCACGTTGTTTTTCCCTCTTTTCTCTTTGACATTACAAAGAAATGGATTATCTCTAGCTTAAAAACGACGAACTGCTGAAACAAACTAATATCCAGCTGCCAGCTGTTCACAGAAAGTGGACTGATTTGGCTATCATGGGTTCTTCCAGTTTACTTTATTTCAACTTTCATGTTCTAGGAGTGAACTGGGCATCCAATGTCCACAGTATAGACCTTCCTGGAGAAGGTTTTATACTGATGAGAAGATTGATAGATATTATTGTTTGTGATGCTATCAAGTAATTTTTGTGGTGTTAAATTCCTAATACTGGTTTTAGCACGCAGCTTATGTATGTGTGCTATCCTAAGTAGACTTGGAATACCACCAATTCTTTATATCTTCAACTTAAACACTAATTACGGGAGAATAGCGGGATGAATATTTGTATAACTCAACACATTCATCGAAATAATAGTTAGTCATGATCAAAGCGTTTCTTTTTCTTTTCCATGTTTCCCAACTAATTTTTCTTTGTTCCTTTCTTCCTCATCTGTGGAATATTAAATGATTATTCTGGCATAAGTTATGGTTTCTTCTGGTTACAGATTTCAAAGCAGGTTCCCGGTGTTGCCGTATCTATTGAACGAGAAAACCACACCCATGGTTTCTGTTGCACAGAGGCCGGTTCATTATGGGTTGCTCAGCATGTGGCAAACTGTATCAAGAAGCAGACAGCTTGTACAAACCAATGAGGTCTGACTCTCTTGCTGTTCGCTTGTGTTGTGTGAGTTTTCTATGTTAGTCTCAGAAAGGACTGAACCACAAATAAATTTGAAACGATGCTTATAGTTCATGCTATAAAAAGTGTAGTTTCTTTCATTCATCAATGCTTATAGTGCATTCAACAGTTTTAACATCGCCAACAACTGTATTTTATGACTTAGTACCACCGTCGAACATCTACCATCCCGTTCCGTCTCCCGACTGCGCTTGCCTGCTAATATTAATCTCATCTGATATAGTTATTTATTATTATTGAAATGATATTTTTTTAGTTATTCTTTTATTAAAGGAATTAAGACACTTTTAAGAGTAATATGCAACCTATAAAACTATAGTTCTTACCATTTGGTTTGGGCTGGCCTGACAAATAATATGACCCAATGGATCAGCAAGACAAATAAACTTAAATATAGACAAAGAATAGCAGGTTGGCCCCGTCCGTTTTTGTTTTCTGTTCAATATATGTGATGGAATGCGTCCTAACATAATATATATTTGAGACGTTTTAAGTAGAAAAGGGAACAAGGTCCAGAAAATGGTACGTTTTGATTTATCAACATGATGGAGATAAGAAAAAGAAGATTTGAATGTGAGAATTAATTGATGTAATTTCAAATGAAAGTGTACGAAATTAATTATTTCCCAAACTACTATATATTAAAAATTGTCTATAATTTATATATAAGTAATCAGTATTAATATACGATTATTTTAAATATGTAGGATAATTAAGCGCCGACCTTAAAAGTGATAAATAATTCATTTCCTCAGTTTCTTGTATCAGGTTTTAACTTTAGTTTAATTGAATATTTTGTTTGTTATGTTCTGTACTTAGAACTATAATGTGACGAAGACTTGAACACTTTTTGTTTTATTAAAGTGAGGTTAATAGATTTACGAATGAGTGTCAATGTCTTTTTATAAGGTAAGCAAATAAACCTTAAAACAACTGTAACAAGCACGGTATGAATCCATGCAAGAGTGTCTATTCTCAAGCATGAATATAAACTTCGATTACGATGTTAGAAACCAATTCAATTACAATCAATATTTTGGCACCTAAGAACCAATCTTACAAATTATGACTTAATATTATAATATATAATAATGACGAAGATAATGTGGAAAAGGACAAAGGGAAAAAATGGGTTAAAAGGATGACCAAAATCACGAGTGTCTATCAGAAACATTAGCTAAACAAGCTTGTAACTGCCCCCCGTGAATACCGACGTGGGTTTTAAGATTTTTCTTAAGATAGGATTCCCTTCAGATTGTGCATGCTATGCTATTGACAACAATATTGTGACAATGTATAGTGAGTTTAGATTCAGAAGTAACTAGTATTTAATTCTTTCTCAGTTCTTCACGATAAGTGTAGTTTACGTTGCTTTCGTTCATTGATCAATAAAATTCCAAAACTTTAACCTTTCAGAAATGGTCTCTGTTTTCTATTCTCTCCAGCTACTGCGCTTTGAAACATTCATCCAATTGCAGCAAGTTGGGTTGTGTTGGTTACAAACACCATTGGCTTTTTGTTTCTACTTTTTCTACAAAAATAAGAAAGATTACCTTCGGTGACGAATTTGAATCTTTTTATATATTTTTTTCTACATTACGCGTTTACAATAATACTTTTACACTTAATAGTAGTCAATCTATCATGATAATATATTTATATATATTAAAAATGTAAATTAAAATTTGGTTTTATTATTTCACTATACACAATATTAAAATTTATACGGTATTCAATAATTAGATTGAGCTGGTCTTGTCTTGTGTATTATCATTTCCATGTTATATGTTTAGTTTGAATCCAAAGAAATAATCTTATTAAATATTTAGGTCAATTTAAAACCAAAATAAATATGTCAGAATCCAACCTGAACTCTTCTAATCAAAGGCGTATACTATGTTATTAGTTTTTTTTTTCTTTTACCTATTTCCTTCTATTTTAACCTTTCTCTTTGTTGTAAATCCATGTCAACTGCAGTTTGGTACCCACGTAATCAATCTTCTAATAACTGTTCAAATTATTTCTTAATTTTCATAATCTCTCCAAACATGTTCAAATTCATTATTCAATAATACATGGCATTTTTACCATAACTTTGTATTAATTTATCATTTGTAGATTAAATTAATCTTCATTTAAAGATAAAAATAACATGTTTCTGCATTATGTCATAAAAAAAAAAGCATATTTATGTGCATAGTAATGAAAAAGTATAAAAATGTATATTCTTGATTCCTGCCATGGGAGCTGCTACTCGTCCCTGATGATCGATATCGAATCTATTATTTAATGCATAGTTAAGTAGGGTTTTTGTCTCTTCAATTGATAGCCATCTTCATTTCAGAACTAGACAAACCAGCAACTTCATATCCAATTATCGAACCCTGAAATTGCTCTCATTCTCAATGCATGTGATCAGATGACCAATCTTCCAGATACCTCCACCACCCAAAACAAATCTGCGGCCCAGATCACATTCTACCCAAATTATCTATTTCCATTTCAAATCCTAATCACATAAATGCTTCAATATTTTCAAGAGTCACGTTGCTAATATAAAATATTTATCAATACTAAACATTTAGTAGAATCTTAATTTAAAAAATATAAAATAAAATAAAATGAATTGATGATGAGAAGTTAGAGTATATAGTGTGTATGTAGGGACCTCTTAACTCAAAGTCACATGGCAAGCAAGCCATCCTCATAAATAAAAAGCCACTATCCAAAGCCACACAAACTCACACCTTCCTTTGACTAAGGTAACCAAGCTTCTTGTTTTGTTCGCTTTCGTTTCTTTTACTCGTAGCAGACACACCAATGTCTGCCTCCAGAAAGAAGCTTCTTCTCAACACAGTGTCCGTGAAACTTGGCTGCGGCACCTGCAGAGGGCCAAAACTCTATCGCATATTCCATCCAAAGCCTAAACCCACGAAGCTCCCCTCTTACCAAAACCACAAAAACCACTACAACCATTTCTCTTCTTCCTCTTCTTCAGCCCAATGGGCTGACAGCACCAACACCACCCCCACCAACACCAACACCAACACCACATTCTCTCCCTACGTTGATTCCTCCCACTTTTCTGACTCCGACGTCAAGGCTGCAAGAACAGTGGGGGGTTTGGGAAGAGCTGGCAAAGAAGGGGTGGCGGTGGAGAAAGACTCCGATGACCCTTATCTTGACTTCAGACATTCCATGCTGCAAATGATATTGGAGAACGAGATATACTCCAAGCAAGATCTCAGAGACCTTCTCAGTTGCTTCCTTCAGCTCAATTCACCGCACCATCATGGCGTTATAGTCAGGGCTTTCACTGAGATCTGGAATGGCGTCTTCTCTGGCAGACCCAATTCACACATCAACCGTAAGCCACGTCAGTTCTAAGCACTGCACGTCATCCTCGGTTGCTATAACGTTAACGAGTTCTATACTTTCTATGTGCTGTGTTCTAGGTTCAATGTATATCTTCTCCAACTCAACCACAATCTTGGTTGAACAACTTTGCTAATTAGTTTGTACTACAACGTCTTCATCAACAATTTGTAAAGAGGGTACTGCTGCTATTTTTATCAGTGAAGAGTAGTATTATGCAGTTTAATATATAATCAGATTATATCCCAGTTCTGAGTTGGATTTATTCTTGTTGTTGATGTTGTTTGCATAGTAGAATTTGAGCACAAGACAAAGATGGATTGGACTTCTCCAGAAAGTGACTGGTCATAAGAAATAACTGTCGTGTTAATTAGCATCTGTAATGGACCATGTTGTGTTGTAGTAGAAAATAGAAATCACAATGGAGGACCTGAAATACTTGGTTGGTCCCTCCCTAGAGTTTGAGGGATTTGGTCAAATGGCTCCCGTGTTTTGAGTGGGATTATGGTGGTGAAATAAAAGAGCTATTGGGATTTGAACCGTTGTAGTAATAATTAGAGTGCTTTGAAGCAAGAGGGGCATCGAGTTAAGTACTTTTCAACGAGAAGAGAATAGAAACTTTTGCTGCTAACTCCTGTGCTTTTTCCGAGGTTGCTATTAAAGTTTCTACTCTGTTTTCACCATAATTCGGATCAAATTTGCCTGTGGGCGCGATACCCGTTAGATTTTTTAAAAACAGAAGAAAAAAAAGTTACTTACTTTACTATTTTTATAAATGATTTCGTTTTTAATTGAGGCGATGCTTATCTTATTCAATGCTCTTAACTTGTCTCTTTATTGTTGCAATATTGTAATAACATGACGATGAAACAACGTTTCTCATTTATTTCTTTGGCACAGGACTCAGGTCTCATTAATGTAGAGCATGCATTGAGATTGGCTTTGAATTTACTTAGGCATTGATAACATGGTTGCAGGCTGTTTTAATTTGTATTTAAACCTCACTATGCAGGTAGGCTCCTATGGGCGGTAAAAGTCAGCTTGCATTTAAACCTGGTAGAGAAAAATAATCATTTCTTCATTAATTAACAATGCCATTTCATTAACTAAAACTTTAACATAATTTCTTTCCATCCCCCACAGAATGAGGGCTTGCAGAAATTACTTATCAGGATTTATCAGAAACAATACCCCATAAAAGTTAAACTTACAAACATTAATTGTTTATAGTTAATAAAGAATGTGATTATCATAAACATACAGTTGATGATCATACACTTTTTAACGTAAAAGTTGGGTTATTGCTTTCCATTCCTTGTTCTGAGTTGTTTAAGAGGGGACATATACAGATATTTTAGAAGCACTTTTCTCAGTTCAATCCAGAAATAATAACTTTTTTCTCTTCTTTTGAAGCTTTGTCTAATTGTACCTTCTACAATTAAACCGGTGATTAACAGATATGGATTAAAAAAGTGGTGTATTTTAGGTGATGATAATCTCTTTGCCCTGATATCTTGTGGCAAATTGAAAGCAAGTAGCAGACCACACCTCACACTGTGTTAAAGGTTTGGAACTAAGTTAGCATGCTGTCCAACTCAGTCTTCAAATAATTGCTGTGAAGATAAACAACATGTTTGTTGCTTTTAAGGCAAGTGTTTCCCTCATGCTCAATCAAATTGTGCTTATCTACTACCATATACATTTTTAAAGACTTTATCTGATTTCATATTTATAAATAATATTCTGGCACACCATAGTCTCTAGGACTTAGCACATGCAGATTCATCTTGTTTTGTATTGAAATTTACATGTTCTTTATTCAATAAGAATTAATGCTGAATAACACAGTCCTAAAACTTCTAATACACTCTTATGAACTGATGGCAAAAGCTTAAAAACGACTTCATTTATCTCACATCTCATTTTTTCATTTACAGTATTTAATTATTTAACAAAATTTGCTTTCATTCCTTATATCTTTTACATAATTAAGAAAAAGAGAAAAAGAGTATCTTTTTCTTTCTTTCTTTCCTTATCAAACAACGGAAAAACCATCCTTTTTTATCTTATTTTATATTTCTAAAAACCAAACATGACAGAAGTGGATAGTGTGGAGGGAAGGAACTGCAGAATAGAAAAAAATTACCATCTGTATCCTATCAACAGTGTCATGTTTGATCATTGATAAGGTGGAGACACAGCATAATTTAGCAGACATAATCACCAAGTTAATCAGATTATCTTGTTTCTGATAATGGGGAACATCTATATCCTTTGATAGGCCAGAGTTGACATGATTTCTAACCGGAACTTCAATTTGTGTTATATCTTATCACAACAGTCAGAGTTGAGAAAAAGTTTCAAAAAGACGTTGGTCTTGTCCATACATAAAGAGCAACCATCCTGCTATGCTGAATGAGTTGGCATTTGGATTTGACAGAAAAGAAAAAGAAACTGAAAAATATTTGTTCCCCAATGTAACAGTTTGCCAAGAAAAATATCAAATGTGTAGTTCTTGTATAAGAATAGACTAATGAAGATTACTCTAATTTTTTAATTATTTTTTGTGGCTTTTACGTATTTGAGTTGGTCCCAGGGCTATGATAGGAGAGCAAAGATTGCTACTTAGTACTAGGCAGGTGGTATCAATGTGAAGCTATTATTACACTTCGTTTGCTGACAAAAAATTACTAACATTTACTATCAGCTATCGATAACAATGCAATACCTGGTCAACATCATCATTTAAGATGTTTTGTTTTGGTTTGTTTTTTCGAGTAAAAACTCTTTTTTCTTCAAAGAAAATTTTACTTATATTCACAAAGAACAAAAAAAATAACATAAAAATAACATACACACTCTTCCTCTCTTGAAGAAAGAGAGCAAGAAAACAAAAACTATGTTGAGAGTTGAAAGTAACATAGCGGTGAGAGCAACACGAACAGTTCCATCTGCTGGTGAAACATGCGTGCTAGTAAATTTTTAGAGGGACTCATCACATAACAGCATGCTGGTGATAGTAAAATTTAGGGACAAGAAATTTCTACCAGAAAAAACATGAACAGTTATATCTCAATTACAAATTCATCATTTTATTATCTTATTTATTGTCACCAATTGTTACAACTTTAAGCCAAACTCAGGTTTACAAAAGTGATTATAAGATAAGGTTTATATTCACTTATATCTTATATCTTATATCTTGTTAATTGATTTTATCTTTCATCGATATAGAACTTCCAACACACTTTTATGCGTCGAACTAGATATTAATGTATAGTTCAATGGCTACTAAAATAATAAATCTAATAAACATCAAATTTCGTTAAGATAGGCTCCAACTCATTACTCTCATATCATGTTAAGACGTAATCTGAGAAAATTGACTTGTAAGATTATATTTGCATCCACTTATATATTATAAATTGACTTTATCTCTAATTAAAGCGAAACTTCCAACATGAATCAACTAAAATTTAACATGATTTATAAATCTCACTCTAAATATAAATAACAAGTAAAGGATAAGTTTATTAGATTTTGAATTAAAAGTGATATTTTTAAGATATTTATAAGTTTATTCACTCAAGTTGTATCTCTTCCACATACCACTAATGCAGAAAAACCTTTCTACAGCAATTAAAAAAATATTTTTATACTAATTTTTGAACCGATATAGAAGCATGGATATAAAAAGTATTAGACTTTTTATACAGATTCAAGAATTAGTATAGAAAGTCCACTTTTTATACCGATTTTGGAATCGGTATAGAGAGATAATTAAAAAAGATATGTTTTATATGTATGACCCATACTTTTTATACCGGTTCAAGAACAAATAGGTATAAATAGATTTACATTTTATACCACTTGTGGCAATAAATGATATAAAAAAGTTCATATTGTATACTGGTTGGAACATTAATTGGTATAAAAAGTGTCACTTCCTATATAGTTTGGAGCATTAATTGATATAAAATGTTTTATTTTTTTTAATGATAAGTTTTTATGTGCTACCTATCACATACAAACCTATAAAAATACATCAAAGAACAATCAAAACAATCCATATAACATATAATATACTTCCTAACCTCATCATATAAATTTACATAAAAACTCATAAAATACCTAACATCATCTTATAAACAATCAAAAGAAACGAAGTTCACTACTCATGAACTTCCTTTAAGACCTCTTGCTCCAATGGAAATGCAACTCAAAAGATCTACATAATGAACAGTTTGAGTCAACTTATAGTGAAAAATACTTAAGATGTTAGTTATAAAGTGTTCACATTACCAAATTTCATTAGAGAACAATATTTGGAGATATGATTTTACACATACGCCCCATCATAGAGCAAAGCACGACAAATGTGTTGGAAATCTAAGTATGAGTCCAAATCTCACATTGGATAGAAATAAGAAAGTATAGCACT